GTCGACGAGGGCGGTTGAGCAGATACGCCGGCGAGATCCGACGATGGCGCCGACGAGTCGGTGGTGTCCCAGCCGATGCTGGACGGGTCTGTCGATTCCCAGGACATTTTTAGCTAGGACGAAACGAGGAAACGGTACGAAGTGAAAAGAAGAGACGAGAATTGAATGGGTGGGAGGAAAAAACGGGCAAGTCAAAATAGAAGTGATGACTTAGCTCGTTTCGAGAATGGTTGGTCGAATCAAACTGTAACGGTGCCGGAGATCGATATCGAGACGAGAGGAGTCGAAACGAGCGAGACGAAGAGCACGAGTATAATGACAACGAATACTGGCGTTGATTCGACGAAGAAGAAAACATAAGTACGATACATGTCTTGACTACTCGTCGAATGCGTGAGAATATAAGTAAGCCACTGTACAGTTACAGGCGCGGGTGCGTCAAAACCCTCTGCGAGGGAAAGCTACCGGCCGACTACATATGAGCAATAAGACTTCGTAGCATTGTGACGGCCTACGCCGTCACATGCAGCAGCAGGGTGGAGTTAGGGCGGTATAATCAGGTCATATGGTGGAAACGCTGGGAACGTGGGCGTGTGCATCCCATTACTGAGGACTTACGGTTCTGTCTGGAAACCAAAAGAGAAGCGGTCATCAATTCAGGCCATTAGGACAGCTATAAAATGTACCAGCCGCTGCTAGGTGCACCCGCTCACAAAATTACAGCCGGAGGCGCCAATACCTTATGATAGACTTGTTGAGATGGCATATTGTAGCGATGTTGAAGTCAAATCCCCTGCAGGGTCTTACGCTGCAGCAAAATGTCTGAGCTAGATAACAAGACTTAGAGTAGAAGTTTAGGAAAAACGTGAGAGAAAATGACAGACAAATTTGCGTGCGGAAGATATAGCTTCGACTTCGTAGACATCCTTACATATCGCCCCAAGAGCAACTGCCTAGTTAAACACCAAGGCGATACAAAAATAACAATATTCCCCATGTCGTCCAGCCGCATCGACACTACTTGCTCCATTGACAATTCACTTCCTTCAATCAATACACGCCAGGAATCAACCTATACTTCACCCGCCTCGAGTACTCCTCCCATTCCTTGCCAAACTCCTTATGCAAGAACTCGTCCTCCACCGGCGGCCGCTCGACAGCCAACTTCAAGAGGCAAGAGGCTGAAAATCCCCATAGGAGCGCAACAGCGACCCTCACCGCCTTGCATGCGTCCGCCTCTCGCAGCCACGAGCCCGTCCCCGCGCTCAGGCCCCAAGCAGTGGCCGAGTCGGGCGCAGTGTGCATCAGAGCCAGGCCGACGATCTGCACCATCGTGAACGTGTAGCTCGGGTGTCGGACCCACGAGTAAGCGCCTGCGGTGACGAGGACGTGGTCCTTGAGTATGCCGATGTTGAACGTGAAGTGTTTTCCGAGTACACGGAAACAGTACAATCTCCCGATGCTCGCGAGGACGGCAAAGAGGGCGCAGGCGATGTAGAGTGGCGAAGGAGCCGCTGTGAATGTTTTCTGGTTGTATCCCAGCAACGATAGAATTCGCGGTGAGTAGGGTGTAGGGAAGGACAAGGCGAGAGCGATGAGTATTTCTGCCAAAGCTGGAAGGACGATGGCAAACTAGTATAACCATTGTTTTCAGCATCAGCTCAACCATGTCAAACAAGAGATGGGTTGTGCAAACCGCGAAGAATAAACATACGTTGCCAAGCGGCATGAGCGCTATGATGAAATCGTCGAATCGAGGCTTCTTGACGTTGTTCGTCTTGGTCAAATGGTAGGTAGATTCGGATGGCCTTGGGTTTGTAAACGATTTTCTATAGGAGGTTACCACGGCGAGCTGCAGACCAGCCTTTGTCCATGACATAGTCGCCGATGAGGATAATCAAGCTGAGAACTGCGGGGCAATGAGCTCTACGAACTCTGGAGTGACGGAGGTACACCGCGCTATTCATACTTCACCAGGGCTGCAGGCGTCTCCCTCCCCTTACAACTATTGTGCCATTATCCTGTAGCACAAGGTCCAGCGCGCCTGGAGCGAGGATCCGATCCTCAGAATGCGCGACTCAGAAGAAGCGAGCACCACTTCTCAGCGGATTTATAAGGATCTAGTAATCAGAAGGATGAATTGACGGTTAGACTAAAGGTAATGGATAATGTATACACCGCTTACAGCAGATAGCTGAAAGACGTCGGGCCGGAAATCACTCAGGTAGTCCTATCCCAATATCCAGTGGTATTGATCCTCGGCCACGAGACCCTATCGGATCTCCTATACCATGAGCGCGATTCTGTCACTAGACAACCCGCCAATAAACGCACAAAGACGCGTTCATGTCGCGAAGCGGTGTCTAGTTGATACAGACGATTCCCTAGTTGATAAAGAGGTTACATCACATACACTGTATACCGCCCAACACATCGGTTCGCCTTCTGGCCTCCGTGATGCCCTTGTCAGCGTCGACCTCAACGATCCCGCTGCCTGTGCTAGAGCATCTCACCGATATGACAGACTACGACCAGTACGCCTCCTACATCGCTAAATTCTTCGAGTATCCACCTTGCCTGTATTCTGATGTCGTGGATATTATGGCTCCCGGTATACCGCAATGCTTCGCGATGTCGAGTATGACATCTGGACGTGCATCGAAACCAGTCCCAAGGTAGGTGACGTCACAATAGACACGGACGGTTTAGACTGTCTATCCTGGCGTACGATGATGGGTCATGCAAAGTTTATGCATATGTACGAAGTCATCCCGACACCTTCAACTTGCAGATGAGGGGTGATGAACGTGCGTTAGGCCAACCCCAATAATAATTAAGTTACTACTTTCAGGTCTACATGTTTTACTATCGAAAGTGTGTCTTCTGTCATTCGACGATGGCTTTGCGCGTGATTAGTTAACGTCGGAGATACCAATGTGTAAATACAGGTTACGCCACATGAACGCGCTAGCAGCGATCCATCAAAGAGTCTTGTGTAACATGGACGAGCAAACGGCTGATTCGGTCGTAGCCCTTCTGGACCTCGAGTCAATAAACACCAGGGATTAACCTATACCTCACCCTCATCGCGTACTCCTCCCACTCCCTCCCAAAATGCTTGTGCAGAAACTCGTCTTCGACCGGTAACCGCTTCAACATCAGCCCCGTCCCGCATGTAACCGTGAACACCCATGTGAGCGCCGCACATGCTCTCAACACCAGCCAGGCATCCGCCTCGCGCAGCCACGATCCCGTTCCCGCCCCTACTCCAAATCCCCACGCCGCCCAGCGCACCCCAGAGTCCGGGGCAGCGTGCATCAGCACGAGGCTGGCTATCTGCAGGATCATGCACGCGTAGCTCGGGTGCCGGACGTACGAATAAGGACCCGAGGTGACGAGGGCGTGGTCCTTCAGGATGCCGATGTTGAACGTAAAGTGTTTGCCGAGTACGCGGAAGCAGTGCACGCGCGCGATGCTCCCGAGGACGGTGAGGACGGCGCCGGCGGTGTAGAGGGGTGACGGTGTCGGTGTGCTTGTGAGGGGGTTGTGCCCCAGCAGAGCGAGGATTTTGGGGGTGTAGGGGGACGAGGGGAAGGACAGTGCTACGGCGATGAGCGTTTCTGCGATGACCGGGAGGATGATTGCGAGCTTGCAGAGATCGTGTTCATCTAGGGTTAGTCTACGAAGAAAGTAAATCGGAGAGGGTGCCCCTACATTACTGAGAGGTACGAGCGCCCGTATGATCAGATCGTCGAACCGCGGTTTCTTGAAGTCGCTCGTCTTCAGCGACTTGCGCGTCGACTCGGAGGGATTCGGATTGGTGAGGGAGATGTTGAAGGCTGTTACTGCTGCGATCTGCAGGCCAGCCTTTAGCCACGACATAGTCAATAGTATAGATGTTTCAAGGACTCCAAGGTATGAAATACACGAGGTGCTGACGGAATTGACCAAAGGTGCACCGTGCTTATATGTTACACCGGGGTACACTGCCATTACCGCACATGCGTAGGCCGCCACTGGTTCCACCAGCCGATAAAGTCACCGTTATCTGCTACTAGTCCAAGTTAAGTAAAATCAAGACGTTCAGCTCGCAGGATGCGATGTTGTATTGCCATCATTTCAACAGTGACAGTGGGCGCTCTCCAGCGCTCACCGTGGTGTTTCAGATTCGGCGTTGACCATCAAACCCTCGCGCCAGCGGACCTATCTTCACGCTGCAATAATACAGTAGTAGTACATGCATGGCTGCATGAAGGGCGGTCTTCTGGGCAGATGACTAGTTGCTCGGGTTGCTCGGCCTTTCTGTGGCACGCTAGTTGTCCAGCAATAGCCACGGCGAGGCGCCCACTCACTAAGTCAGTTCATGCCCTAAGTTCCAATGTTCAAGGTTTGAGCACCTGATTCAACTGCGAGGGTATTCCCAGTGAGGACATGTTTCGAGAAGCTGCGAGCCCAAGTACAGATCAGCTCATTGTAGACGCCGAGGACACACGTTCGTCGAACAGAGCTAGAGGAGAGGAAAGACTGTAATTAAGGAAGTAGAAGAAGTAACCAAATCTACTTATTCATTAAATGAAATTATCATAAAATTATCTCAATTAATATTAAACATATCAAGGACGAGAACAGAATTAATTTCGGAAGGTTTTTTGTTTGAAAGTTCTTCCGAAACACTTTGAAGACGT